CAATTTGGCCCCAGAGTCTGTGTATTTAACCCTACCCTGTTTCACTCTCAAATGGTGTTAGATCATAAAAGATAGCACTTAACAGACACAGATTCTAACTCAGCCACACTTGAGGTAGAGCAATGTATGTGAATGTTTCCACACTTTTCACCTGAAGGCACTTGTTTTCAATACAGATCAGAATCTAAATTCTTTCACAGCACAGACCTGGACCAAAGGAATTATTTAAGCTGTGCATTTAAGTCATGGGTGCTTATTAACCAATTAACAATTGATTTAAGGCTTCATATTACAATCCTTTCTAAGCTGTGCATTTAAGAAGATAAGTGCATTAAAAAAAACCCTCAAGCCCACACACCTGAGGGTTTCCAGGTACAGGTCCTTAGGACTTAAATGTTGGGCCAGAGTTAACTAGTAAGAGAGTACCATAAGGTAGGGGAGTGGAAGAGAAAGAGAAAGAAAGAGGAAATAGAAAAAAAAAATTAGAAGAAAAGGAAAGACATTTATTGAGTACCTACTATGTTCCAGGAATTCTACTCAACAGTCCACATGTTATTGCACTTTATACTCATTACAACCTATGAGGTAATCATATCCTCAAGATTATCTTGCTTATATGCAGAACAAATCAAAATTAAACCACTGTGTCAACATCAAAGCCTAAGCTCTTTCCATTACCCTCATGCTGCCTCCCTAAGTTCAGTTCTTCAGCTTCAATTCCATTGAGCAAAAAAATATTTGGCCAATCTCTCTTGTCTCTATTTCCTCATCTATAAAATAGGGATAACAATAGTTTTTCCCCCTCAGAATTGTTCTGAAGATTCAATGAAATGGTATTTATAAATCACTTAGAACTGTGCACACAGTAGCCACCCAGTTACCAGTGCTGGAATGGATGATGTAGCAATGACAAGGAGAAGACAGACATGCCAGGCACTGTGCTAAGTGCAGGTGTTAAGAAATTACACCAGTCTGGCAAAAGATACCTTAGGCCAGTACAGCTTACAACCCTCCTTGAGCATCTCGAAGCCCAGCAGGAGACATTCTAGAGCAGTGCTTCTCAAACTGTAATGTGTGCATGAATCTCCAAGGCATATTGTGAAAATGCAGCTTCTGATTCACCTGATTCTAGGTGAGGACCTAAGATTCTCCATTTCTAACAAACTCCCAGGTGATGCTCTGGCCCTGAGACCACACTTTGAGTAGCCAGGACCTAAAGAACTACTTTCCTACTTTCTAGTCTCTAAATTTCCCCCTTTCATGTGCCTGAGATAATGAAAACAAGCCAGGGAAAATAAATCATCTTCAACAATTAAATGTCAAGTAAATTAAAGTCACAAGCACTGAGACTATGAAAGCTATTGAAGGCAGCTTCCCAGAGCTCCTGAGACTGGAATCCTTTCTGTACATTCTCCCAGCAGCCAGTTCATCACTGAGAGGAGTGAATTTCATTTTCCTCTCCCTACTCCTGAATCAAAAAGAGTCAAATGAATCTGATAAAGCCTGTGTGACTCCAGGTCCAATTTGAAGGCTTAGACCTTTTGCAATCTATTTAAACTTTCAAGTTGTCTCCAAAGAAGAGGGAGAGCTAGTTTACATATGTTCATTAGAATATCCAAAGAAAAGGGAGAGCTAGTTTACTTATGTTCATTAGAATATGTGGAGTCTTTCTCCTCTCACTGTGTTCCTTCTAATTGACCCCCCTCTAATTGATTTTACCCCACCAGCAACACTGCAATTTAATCCACGCTATTAGGAAGACAGATGCTATGAAGCTCATTTGTTACTAAGAGACCACAGGAAATGGCTGGGATTCTGATAAATGATTGAAATTAAACCATGTAACACTCAACCTGACCCTCTTCACTCATGCCCCTCAGAATCTTGGGGTAACATCAAGTAAGACAAATTAAGATGAAGAAAGTTGGGCTGGAAGAAATAATGTTTCTTCCTTCCAAGAATTATCACTGGCCCTGTGGTATGATTCAGGCCACAGGAATTGAAAAATATTTCAAATCTTACTCTGAGAAAAACTTTCACAAATATTATATGAGCTTCAAAATTACAGTAAGTCACCAAGCCCCTTCTTTCCAATGCTACCTCTTCCCAAACACAACACCAAGAGGGGAGTGGGGTGAAAATGAGCAGGTGCCAGAAGCCTGCTCTGCTCACCCCCTCTGACATAGGCAGTCAGGGATCACATCTTGTCCTGGTACACTTAGGACTTTATAATCCTTGTCCACCCAAGTACAATGAAGAAGCCAGGCTACACTAAAAACTAAACACTGGATTTTGACCACTTTCCACACATCAGGCTCTTTTACAGGAGGTGCTCTAAATGGCCTCATTTAAACATAAGGAGAACATGCACTGCTTAAGAACATGGGCTCTGCACTCAGATTTCATGGGCTCTGACACTTATTATCAGTGTGATTGATTGTGGATAAATCTTAGCTTCTCTTATCCTTGCTTTACTTATTCATGAACCAGGGTTAATAAAAAGCACTAACCTTTAAGCTTACTATGACAATAAAATAAGATAATGCATAGAAAGTGCTTAGCACAATGCATGGCATGTGTAAAACTAGCACTACCCTGCTTTGCAGAGCCCTCTAGTTGTGAATGAAAGAGAGAGAAAATTTTGCAAGTTTTTGTCCCCTGTAACTATACTGCCAGCTCCATGTAAATATTAAGACACTGGATGATTAATAATATAATTCAATACCCAGAGATAAATGTTTCTTTACTCTCTGGGCCTCAGCATCACTATCCATAAAATAAAGTGGTTGTATTAAATTGCTTGCCTCCTCAATTCCAACAGGAATTGTCTAGATACTGTTGAACAATTCTCCAAAAATGCAAGCAAACCCCCAAAGACTCCCTTCTTGAAGGTGGAGGTGGAGGGTGAGCTGTGTTAGAGCTGCACAAACAGCAACTCCATCACATGACTTTAGCTGGTACTGTCTGTGTATTTTTCATTCCTTCACCTAACAGGAAGATACTACTGTGCATTAGATAGTAACCAAGGTGCTGAGGTGTCCAGGATGCTTAAGTAGTGAGGTATGGCCCCTAGAACCAAGAGACTCACAGATGCATAACAGAATTAAGTCAAGTAACTAATGAATACAAAGACTAGAGGTTTCAGGCAATGTGAATATTTGCTTTATTACTAGTGCCATGCAAAATGTTGGTGATGACCTTCAAGGTATCTCCCATGGACTCCAAGACTCCAGTAAAGAATAGCAACCACTGGCTGGGCGTGGTGGCTCACACCTGTAATCCTAGCATTTTGGGAAACCAAGGCAGGAGGATCACTCAAGGTCAGGAGTTTAAGACCAGCCTGAGGAAGAGTGAGACCCCCATCTCTACTAAAAAATAAAAAGAAATTAGCTGGACAACTAAAAATATATAGAAAAAATTAGCCAGGCATGGTGGTAGTCCCAGGTAATCAGGAGGCTGAGGCAGAAGGATTGCTTGAGCCCAGGAGTTTGAGGTTACTGTGAGCTAGGCTGATGCCATGGCACCCTAGCTTGGACAACAGAGCAAGCCTCTGTCTCAAAAACAAAACAAAAGAATAGCAACCACTATAACTCCCATGACTAAAGCTTCCTGTACTATTACAAGTGCCTGAATGTCTACTTTGTACCAAGCCCAAACCAACTACACTTAGTCCTCTTACGACAATCCCCTAGATTAGGTATCATTATCCCTAATAGGCTATAAACATCAGCCATCTTCCTGCCATGGCTTCTAATACCAAGTGGATCACTCACAGCTTTTTTAGCCTAAGAGACTACACTTATCCCATATGAACATTTCCTGATTGCAATTGTTAAGACCACAAACAAGAATTTGATGTAAGGCAGTCAATTCATGGACTGGTTAAAAAAAGGTCAACTAGGCCAATTAAATTCTCTAGGCTTTCTCTCCCAGGCTACATATTAGAATCAACTGATGACCTTTTTAAATGGTACCAGGCTCTACCTCAGACCAATTAAATCAGGCTGAGAGGAGCTGAGCTGAATATATGTATTTTGCAAAAAGCTTTCTTGTTGATTCTAACATGAAGCCAAGGTTAAGCGTCACTGCTTTAAAGCAATGGTTCTCAAAGTGTGGTTCCCAAAGTAGCAGCCCCAGTATTTTTTGGAAATTTGTTAGCAATACAGACTCTAGGGCCCTATTCTAGACCTACTGGATCAAAAATGCTGGTGGTTGCGCCCAGCAATCTGCATTTGAACAAGCCCTCTAGATGATTCTAATGGACACTAAAGTTTGAGTATCGTGGCCCCAGAGCCTTGCTCCTCAAAATATGGTCCATCAACCAGCAGTATTGGAATCACCTACAAGCTTGCTAGAAGCACAGAACATTTTGCCCCAACCTGGGCGTTAATGAATCAGTAACAGCATTTTAACAAGATCTACTGGAAAACTGGTGTGCACATTAAAGTTTGAGACATGGAGGGGAAACAATGAACGAGTTTCAATGGAAGAAGTTAAAAATAGTCAAAATGAGAAGCACTAATGCTGACCCAAGGAGGTGCGTTCTACCTAAAGAGAATTCTACCAGAAACACCTGAGGGGCTCTCTCAACCTATTTGTACAGACACCCAGGGATTTCAGTGGGCAAGAATCACTGCCACTGATGAGAATATGCTGTATTCCACAGTGTGGTGGATGGAAAATAAGGCAGTTTATAAAACAGACATTGGTAGAGTCTGATAGGGAAAGCAAGATGAGTGTGGCAATGTGAAGACGCAGAAAAGTAGAGGAAGATGTGTATAAAAAGAACTACACAGACACACATACAAAAGGAGGCAGACATCGTGAGAAAGGCCAAGTGAATAAAAAACAGCTGACCACTAGAGTCACCTTCATGTCCCCCACCTTCCCAGTCTCAGTTCCAGTTCAGCAGTATCCTCACAATAAACAGCTTTTCTTGAGAAGATGTGAATGTAACTGTAAGCACTCATTTTGTGCTATGGCCACGCAAGAGTACTCACCGTAAGAGGGAAAAAGTAATGGAGTACTCTGGCTTCCCAGGCAGCTACAGTCTCAATCCGAGTCCCAGTTGCTCAGGAAGAATCTGACTGGAACCACATTTTCCCTCCTGAGATCTACATCATGCCCCCAAACCAAATAAATACCTGGAATAGAGAAAAATCAACAACAAGCATTGACCAGATGGTGAAAAACTCACACGTGTTCCTCCTACACAGAAATTTGGGAAAGACTTTAGCAGCCAGGCTCCCAGGTGCCCACCCACCTCAACTTACCTAGCAACACATCTACTCTATCGCACCTCATGCTTTGCCAAGGTGGGAAGATGGTTTAGGTATGAGGATAACAGGTAAAAAAAAGAAAGAAAAGAAAGCCACTGAAATTAAAATAAAGCCACCTAAGACTTTCCTTAATATCCAAGAAAGGCAATTTGCCAAAATTATGGAAAACAATGAACTTGTTAAGAAAGCAGACCCTCCCCACCTTTAGTAGAAATAAAGATCTCTGTGAATAGCTAAATACATGATTCATACTGTCTAATGGAGAATAGCCCTAAGCAAAAGCACAAGCTACAAAATAGTAACGAGAGAGATACATTTAAAAGCAGTGTATCTAAACATTGCAATGCCACGGGCATTGGACCAGCATAATCCATGTTTTCAAACCATGAAATACAAACTACCAAATAAAGACGACTACCTATATTCACTCATGCTTCAACAAAGAGCTTACCAAACACTATGGAAATCCCTGTATTCCCAAGAATAAATAGTTGCCAACCTGTCTTCTACCTCAACCTACTTAACAGGTGGTTCACACCTGCAAGACATACGTCCTCACACAATACTCTAAGGACAAATGGAAACTGTTCCTTTGTCTCTCATCCTAAGAAATCACAATGGAATATAAGCAAGGAAGGATATTATAATAAGAACAACCTTTACACTCTGAATTATTTTTTAAGTAAATCATTTATCACTTTGAAACTTTAATAAAAATAACAAGATATTTGTCATTCATTCAACTAAATATTTATGGAGCACCCACAATGCACCAGACACCATGCTAAGTAAGGGCTGAAGTGTAAATAGTCAACAGGTTCTCTGTTTCTCCCGGTTGGGAGCCAATTATGTAACCAATCAGAAAAAAAAGGCAGATTACAGATTTATGTGTGTGTGTGTGTGTGTGTGTGTGTGTGTATAAAACATGACCTTGTTTAAGTCAAAATACACACACAAACACATCAATATATATGCATATGTAAAATACATTTAAAAGTTCTAGTAAAATATCCTCTAAATTAGTGGGGAGCAAACCTTTTTCTGTAAAGGACTAGATAGTAAATATTTTCAGCTTGTGGGCCATTCAGCTGCTATCACAACTACTTGATTCTGTGGCTATAGTGTGAAGGCAACCATAGAGAAAGTTTATACATAAACAAAATAGCATGGCTGTGTTCCAATAAAACTTTATTTACAAAAACAGGCGGCAGGCTACATTTGGTCCTCAGGTTGTAGTTTGCCAACTCCTGCTCTAAATTACTAAAAGTATGTTCCTTCAGAGGAGTAAGACTTGAGGGGGAGATGAGTTTAAAACTTACACTTTTACCTCACATATTCCCATTTTGTTTGAATATTTTGCCCATGACTATATTCTCAGTCCCTAGCACAGTGCCTGGCACACAGTAATCACAAACCACAAATAAAAAAGTAGTCTTTTATTAAAGACTAGTTTAATAAATGGATAAGTTTAATAAATGGATAAGCCTAAGATTAATTATTCATTATACTTAAAAATCACACTGGTTTTCAAGAATAAAATTTTAACTTAAAAAAAAACAGGCATTAAGCATAATAAATATAGTGATTTATGTAATAAATTTATGATTTATGTAATAAATGTAGTAATGGATTATAGAGGGATTACAGGACACTCTAAGGGTGCATACAAGGAGCACCAACCCCAGTCAGAATATCAAGGATTAGTTCCTAAGAAACTAGGATCCAAACTCACTAAGACCCCCCCATTGTGTATAGTGATATCAAGGTGGGGAACAGTTATGCCTTACAAATGCACAAACTGACCCCTTATCCAGTCAACAGTCCATCAGCTCAGATGGGGCACTCAAGCTGTGCCCCAGCTAAGCACCTCCTGGTCTCTGCACACCAGCCTTGCTGACCCCAAGTGAGGCCACACAGGGACAAATGGCAGAGGAAGACTCTGACTTTCCCAGTGAGTTCAATGCCATCCAAACTGAGCCATGAAATAGGCAAAATGGAGAAACTCTCTACTTTCCTGCTAAAACAGAGTTTTCAGAACAGTGAGAAATTATAACTTTGAGTTTGTCCCCAAAGACCTATGTTTGTAGACAATTCTCCAGAGCAAACAAAGTGTCAGTCACTTCTCTTAAAAGAGTAGCCTGTGAACAAAGAAAAGACAAAACTGCTACTCTTTTCTAGAAGCCCACAGCACATACTTCTCCTAAACTATTGTCACACAACCGATCTCCTAAGGAGGGAGACTAAATTCTACCTGTATAATTTTCAGCTGTTTTCAAAAGAAATTACAAATGAAACCTAGCTTTGTCACTGGTGTTTATTTTTAAAAGACCAAAATAGATAGGTTAATTTATTCAATAAAAACAGACCACAATGTTTCAGGTATAGCATCCTCTTTGTATGAAACAGATACAGTTAACCAAAACCTGCATCTTCACATGCAAAAATCCTCTTTGACTCTTTGTTAGTTCTCATTATCTGTCCTAGCTCAAGAAGAAAAAAAATGTCATTTTTCCTTTGAGGATTTGTGTGTGGATCTTTGGCTCCTCTAGCTGGCAGTAATTTAAACATAAATGAAATCAAAGTAGTGGTGGAGAGAAATGTGGCTGGGGATAATGAAGTGTCCCAACACACACTGCCCTGCGACTAGATCCCTCTTTCAAAAGACTGAGTCCATGTGTTTAGGAAGGACTGTGTATTGCCTTAATATTTAACTGTGTGCTATAATTGGCTTAAGCCCCTAACTGGAGTTTATAGCTCTCTGGTCCTAATCCCTAGTGAGCTCCATGAAGGGCCCAACACCCCCCCAGTGTTGGGGAGAAGAGTTCCTTCTCACCAACAGAATGTCCCCAGTCTCTCTATGACCCTCACTTTCCTCAGCGTCCTCTCCCAGCTGCCCCCTACAGTATCTTAGGGCCTTCCATGTATTCAAACAGCCTCTAGGTCCTTCTGCCATCAAACATCTTACTTGTCTCTTGACATCACAACTAGAGGATAGCTCCTGGTAGCCAAGGTTCATTCTGAGCCCTCTGGTGACAGCTAAACTGAGCCATAACTAGCTTTCCCTTAAAAAAAAAAAAATTAGGGGAAGCCTCTAGAGCTGCATCTGGGAAGAAAGACTGGAACACTGTGTCAAACTCTGAGATGTTCTCCTTGATCCTGAGACATGCCAGGGATAGGGGTGGGAAACAGGACAGAGAGACAAGGAGGAGATGAGGATGGACACAGGAAAGAATAGAACCAACATTTCCTTGGCTCAAAAACAGTCTCATTCTAGGTCCTAAATTTTTCTTCAAGTATTGCCTCCATAGGCACAGGGTAATTCACACAAATTGAGTACGAGAAATGGTTTTATTTATTCATGCCCCCAATGATTTTTCTGCATATTTGGGGGGTTTGTCATAAAGGATGGAAGGCACTGTAATCCTATGATAGTGGATTTTCTCCTTAGAAGTTGCTATGGTTTAACATATATGCTTGCCTTGAGGACAAAATCAATGACATTGATCTCACTTTCTCCCAGCTGTTACCACAGGACCCAGAATATAATCAGTACTCTTTGAAGGCTTGATGAATACACGAACGAATGAGTATATGAATATTTTGCAGTAATTCATAGCTAGACTATTCTGGTATCCTTATAAAGAAGGGGGAATTTGGAGACACATACACAGAGAGAACACCATGTGAACTTTAAGATGGCCATCTACAAGCCAAGGAGAGAGGCCCTCATAGTCCGCAGAAGAAACCAACCCTGCTGACAGACTTCCAGCCTCCAGAACTGTGAGACAATAAATTTCTGTTGCTTAAGCCACCTAGTTAGTCTATGGGACTTTATTATCATCTCCAGAAAACCAGTAGATGTCCCCAACTTCTCTTCTTCATGCCATGTCTACAGGGCTTGTTGATACACTGAACTCCTTACCAGTAGGACAGGGCCAAGAATCCAGCTGTCTGGGTTCCAAGCTTATGATTTGTATTACCCCCCCCTGTGTCTCAGTTATTGTATCTCTAAATGGAGATGCTACCAGAATAATATCACAAAGTCTAGTTGTGAGGATTAAATGAGATAGTCCAGGCACAACATCTGGCACATAGTAAAAGTGCAATCAATATTAGTTGTTGCTTTTGGTGGTAATGCAGTTAATGGTGCTAGTAATTGTGTGTAGGCATTGTGATACAAAACATATTAAAAGGATAACAAGGTTTCAATACATACAGACCTGGGTTCAAACTCCAATTCTCCTTCTTACTCACTTTGTGACTTTGGGCAACTCACGTTACCTCTCTAAACCTCAGTAAATTGGAGATCATCTGTAAATTGAAGATGATCATATATCTGTCATAGAATTGTTATCTAGATTTAAAAAAAAAATTAATCTAAAGCATTTAGTACTGTCCCTGGCTCAGAGGGAGGCCTCAATAAATGGCCACTTTTAAAAGCAGATGATCTGATTCCTCACCTCATTCCCACTTGGTCTTTTCAGCCACATCCTTTCTTCAAGCCTCAGAGGGATACATCATTTTGCAAGACAAAAGACTGGAAAAACAACTAAATAGCAGCTGTTCTTCTTCATCAACTAACTCTAATGTGGGCAATACTATTAAAATGCATTAGTGCCCCCCCCACTAGAAAGCAGGCTCAACCCATGAGGGCAGTTCATTTCCAAGCACACATGTTCTCCAGCCAAAATGAGCCACGCATCCCTCACAAGCACTTTGAACAGCATTTCAAGGTCACTTCTTGGATGGGAAATTATCCCTCTATAGTCACATAGCTGACATTTTCTTTCTTTCACCTGCAAGGCCCCTTAAGTCTTCTGAGTGAAATCTTTTTGCCTTCAAAGATTGCGCTGCAAGTAGAAGCC